GCTGTGGCCTGAAAGAGTACTTCATATAATTTTGATTTTCTTAAATTTATTGAGACTTGTTTTGTGGCCTGTCCTATGGTCTGTCTTGGAGAATGTTTCATGAACTGATGAATATACTATCTATTCTGCAGTTATTGGCCACTATATTCTGTATATATCTGTTAAGTCCTTTTGTTGTAGGGTATAGTTTAAGTCCATTTCCTTGTTGGCATTTTGTCTTGATGACCTGTTCGGTGCTGTCAGTGGAGTATTGAAGTCCTCCCACTGTTATTGAAGTCCTCCCACTATGTGCTGCTGTCTATCTCATTTCTTACATCTAATTGTAATTGTTTTATAAGTTTGAGAGCTCCAGTGTTAGATGCATATATATTTAGGATTGTGATATTTTCCTGTTAGACTAGTCCTTTCATCATTATATAATGTCCCTCCTTGTCTTTTTTAACTGTCACTGCTTTAAAGCTTATTTTGTCTGATACAAGAATAACTACTCCTATATTTTTGGTGTCAATTTGCCTGGAATATCATTTTCTACACCTTTACCTTAAGTTTATGTGAGTCCTATGTATTAGGTGATTCTCTTGAAGATAGTACATACTGGGTTGATAAATTATTATGTATTCTGCCATTCTCTATCTTTAAAGTGGAGCATTTAGGCTATTTACATCCAATGTTAGTTTTGAGATGTGAGGTGCTATTCTATTCATCATGCCAGTTGTTACCTGAATGCCATGTTTTTTTAATTGTGTTATTGTTTTATAGGCCCTGTGAAATTTATGCTTTAAGGATGTTCAATTTTGGTATATTTCAAGGTTTTGTTTTAAGATTTAGAACTTTTTTTTTTTTTTTTTTTTTTTTTTNTTTAGCAGTTCTTTTAGTGCTGGCTTGATAGTAGCAAAATCTCTCCTCATTTGTTTGTCTGAAGAAGACTTTATCTTTTCTTCATTTGTGAATCTTAATTTTGCTGGATACAAAATTCTTGGCCTACAATCATTTTGTTTAAGGAGGCTAAAGATAGGATCCGAGTTTCTTCTGGCTTGTAATGTTTCTGCTGAAAAATCTGTTTTCAATCTGATAGGTTTTCTTCTATAGGTTACCTGATGCTTTTCCCTCATAGCTCTTAAAATTCTTTCCTTTGTTTTGACATTAGATGACATGATTACTGTGTGCCCCGCTGATGATTTTATTACAGTGAATTTCCTGGGTGTCCTTTGAGCTTCCTGTGTTTAGATGTCTAGATTTCTAGCAAGGCAGGGAAGTTTTTCTTGATTATTCCCTCAAGTAAGTTTTCCAAACTTATAGATTTCTTCCTCAGGAATACCAGTTATTCTTAGGTTTGGTCATTTAACATAATCTCATACTTCTTGGAGGCTTTTTTCATTTTCTTAAAAATTCTTTTTCCTTTGTCCTTGTTGGACTGGGTTAATTCAAAAGCCTTCTTGTCTTTGAGCTTTGAAGTTCTTTCTTCTACTTGTCTGATTCTATTGTTGAAATTTCTCTAGTGTGTCTTTCATTCCAGAATTTCTAATTTTTATTTATGATATATATTCCTCTGGAGATTTTTTGTCCATATTCTATATATTTTTTAATTCCTTCATGTTTGTTTTCACCTTTCTCTGGTGCTTCTTTTAGTACAAAATTTGGCATCCCTTTGTGATTAAAACTCTCAGCAAAACCAGCATAGAAGGGACATACCTTAAGGTAATAAAAGCCGTTTATGTCAGATCCACAGCCAGCATTATACTGAACAGGGAAAACTTTAAAACATTGCTCCTGAGAACTTGAACAAGACAAGTATGCCCACTTTCACCACTTCTATTCAACACAGTACTGAAGTTATAGCTAGAACAATCAGACAAGAGAAAGAAATAAAGGGCATCTAAATAGCTAAAGAGTATATCAAACTGTCACTGTTCACTGATGGTATTATTATATACCTACAAAACATTAAAGACTCATCACAAAAGCTCCTAGATCTGATAAATGAATTCTGTAAAGTTTCAGGATACAGAATCAATGCACAAATCAGTGGCACTGCTATACAGAAATAACACTCAAGCTGAGAATCAAATCAAGAACTACACCCCTTTTACAATAGCTGCAAAAATAAAACAAAATAAAATACTTGGGAGCATAACTAACCAAGGAGGTGAAAGACTTCTACAAAATAAACTACAAAACACTACTGAAAGAAATTATAGATGACACAAACAAATGGAAAAACATCTCATGCTCATGGATGGGTAGAATCAATTTTGTGAAAATGACCATATGGCCAAAAGCAATCTACAGATTCAATGCAATTCCCATCAAAATGACAATCATTTTTCACAGAACTAGAAAAAAAATCCTAAAATTTATATGTAACAACAAAAAAGCTACTTCATAGCCAAAGCAAGACTAAGCAAAAAGAACAAATCTGGAGGCATTATATATGCAATTTCAAACTATACTGTAAGGCTATAGTCACCAAAACAGCATGGTACTGGTATAAAAATAGGCACACCGACCAATGGAACAGAATGGAGAACCCTTAAATAAAACCAAATATTGACAGGCAACCTAACTTCAATAAAGCAAACAAAAACATAAAGTGTGGGAAGGACACCCATTCGACAGACATTGCTGGGATAATTGGCAAGCCACATGTAGAAAAATGAAACTGGATTCTCATCTCTTACCTTATACAATAACCAAGTCAAATGGATTAAAGACTTAAATCTAGGACCTGAAACCATAAAGATCTGAAGATAATATTGGGAAAACTCCTTCTAGACATTGGCATAGGCAAAGACTTAATGACCAAGAGCCCAAAAACAAATGCAACAAAAGCAAAGATAAATAGATGCAACTTAAACTAAAAAGCTTCTGCACAGCAAAAGAAATAATCAGCAGAGTAAACAGACAACACATAGAGTGGGAAAAAAGTCTTTGTAAACCGTGCATCGGACAAAGGACTAATATCCAGAATCTATAAGGAACTCAAATCAGCAAGAAAAGAAGTAATTCCATTAAAAAGTATGCTAAGGATATGAACAATTTTCAAAAGAAGTCGTTGGGACAATTGAGTGTCCACACACAGAAGAATCAAACTGAGCCCTTATCTCACATCATATTAAAAAAATCAACTCAACGTGGATTAAAGATTTAAATGTAAAACCAAAACTGTAAAACTACTAGAAGAAAACATAGGGGAAAAATTCTGTAACATTGGTCTGTACAGTGAATTTTTGGATATGAAGCCAAAAGCAAAGGCAAAAATAGATAAATGGGATAACATCAAACTAAAAGTTTCTGCACAGCAGGGGAAACAAGCAAGAGTGAAGAGACAACCTGTAGAATGGGTGAAAATATTTGAAAACCATAGATCTAATAAGGGGTTAATGTCCAAAATATGTAATGTGACTCAAATGACTCAGGAACAACAAAACTAATAACCTGATTTAAAAATGGGCAAAGGACTGGAATAGACATTTCTCTAAAGAAGACATGCAAACAGCCAACAGCAATGTGAAAAGATGGTCAGTATCACTAGTTATCAGGAAAATACAAACTGAAAGCACAGATGTCACCTCATACCTGTTAGAATGGCTGTTATGAAAAAAAAACTAGATTTGACAAAAATATGGAGAATAGAAACATTTGAACACTGCTGATGGGAATCTAAGTTAATACAGCCATTATGAAAAACCATACAGGTATTCCTCACAAAAGTTAAAATACAACTACCACATGATCTAGCTGCCTCATTTCTGAGGTAATATTCAAAGGGGATGAAAAGAGTATGTCAAGGAAATATCTGTACCCTGATGGTCATACGCAGCATTATTCACAATAACCAAGATATGGAATCAACCTAAGTGCTTTTCAACTTATGAATGGAAACAGAAAATGTGGTGTGTGTGTGTCTATATATACATAAAACACATTTTCTGTGTGTGTGTGTGTGTGTGTGTGTGTGTGTGTGTGTATGTATATGTGCACACATACACACAGTGGAATATTGATTCAGCCTTAAGAAAAAAAAATCTCTTCATTTTTGACAATGTGGATGAGCTTAGAGGACATGATGCTATGTAAAATAAGCCAGGCACAAAAAGGCAACTGTGGCATTATCTCACTTATAAGTGGAGTATATAAGAATGGACCTTATAGGAACAGAGAGTAGAATGGAGTCTTACCAGGGCTTGTGAAAGAAAGGGAGAAATGGGTGCAAAGTTTCATACAGGACAGATAAATTCTGGGAATCAATTGGTTAGCATGATGATTATAGTTAATAATAATGTATTGTGTACTTGAAAATTGCTAAGAGAGTAGATCTTAAATGTTCTCAGCACATACAAACTATGCAAGGTGATAGATATGTTATTTACCTTTTGGGCAATCATTGCACAGTGTATACATTTATTGAAGCATCACATTGTACACCATAAATATTTACAATGTTGTCAACTGTACTTTAATAAAACTAGAAAAAAATAAAAATAAATTTAAATTATCTCTTCTAATCTTCCCTGTTCCCTTCCCCATAGATACTGTGGAACTGTCACAGACCGAAAGGGACCAAATAGACATGAAGCCAAAACCTAACATTTTTTTTCTGAACTAGATTCTTTTGCTATAAAGGGCATAATTGGTTCCATTGAAACTTGAATAGAGTGTATGTATTAAATATAAATAATGTATCAATGCCAATTTCCCGATTCTAATGATTGAATTTATTATGTAGGAGGATGTTTTTATTTTTTGCAAATATACACTGAAGTTTTAAAGGATAATGGGCTGTCATGTAAACAAATTATTCTCAAATGATTTAGGAAAATCGTTTTAGTAAAGCACTTGTAACTTTTCTAATGTTTGTGATTGTTTCAAATTTTTAAAAAGTAATAAAAAGCAATGCTATGGAATAAAGTTTCAATTAAAGCTTGTTGGTTTTGAACTCTATTAATTTAAATTCATTAAAAATGACTTAAACTGTATTCATTCTTTCACATTTTTTGCAGGATTATTGGCCAAAGGAAATCCATTTTAGAGATGATGATCAATGGTCATGCACTCTGAAAAAAATAAAAGAAGATAGTTCATTTGTTTCCATTTATACACATCTATGGGAAAATGTTCCTCGAATATTTGAAGCAGTTTTGATCATGGAATCACGATTAAAGGATTATTCACTTCTTTTGCAAAACCACACCTCTAAAATATTTAAGTGGAAAAGCATGATTTCTGAAACAAGTGAGCCTTATTTATTTTTATCTTTTGTAGAAGTGGAGTCTAACTATGTTGCGCAGGTTGTTCTCCAGTTTCCAATTTTTGGCCTCAAGTGATCCTCCTGAGTCAGCCTCCTAAAGTGCTGGGATTATAGACATGAGCCAGTGTACCTGGCCAGTCCTTATTTTTTGTATTAGTAAAGTAATGGTCAGGTAGGGGTGTGTGTGTGGGGTGTGTGTGTGTGTGTGTGTGTGTGTGTGTGTAATCTCATAAAGAATGAAATTCTAAGGTATAATATAAATTTTAAAAATATTTTATTTTAAAACCTCTTCATTTCAAAATGGTTCAATACAGATTTTTTGGTTGAACATAAATATGTGGATTCAAAGGAAGTATTACTTAAAAAAAGCATTAAAATAGTTGTTAAACTGTTAAGCTTTTGTTAAACTGGAGTGGAGGTACAGAATATTAGGAAGACGTGAGAGCAAGTTTGCATCAACTAATATTTTTACTGGAAACGAACATATCAGCAAGGGTCAGGATAGAACAGAAATATCTAAAACTGAAAGTAAAAGGGGTGATAGTTAACCTATATGAGCTAGGCTTGTTTGTAGGAGTAACTGGTTCACTATGAAATAACTGAATGAATGACAAAGCATACTGCAAGTAATAATTTTAATTTTCAATATTTGTATAACATTTTTCTAATATAATTGTATTGATTAATATTTCCAGAGTCATTTTAAATATTTATAATTATTCTTGTCTTATTCTTGATTTAATCGCCAAATTTGTCATATATGTCTTGAAAATGATATTAATTGTACTTATAAAGTATTTTTAGATATTAGATTCATTATGTTATTTTGGTATTTAATATTCTTTTTTGGACTTAGATTTGTGTAATTCTGAAGATATATTTAAATACATTTCTATTAAATTATTTTTAAATTTTTAAATTTAAATTGTAAATGTTTTAATGTGTATTTTTTTCATTTGTAAAAGCTACATATAGCTTCCTTGTATATATATTAAATATACACATATATATAGCTTGTATACATACACACAGACAGCTGTATGTGCATATAAATTCATCTTATAAAGAAATAAAATATCCACAAGTAACCGAATAGGAACATATCTTTTCATATCTTCCTCCTGTTTTTTAAAAAAGGTAATTTCTTATATATACATTATCCTCAATATATAGAGATCAGAAACAGGATTCAAGTCTAGTTTATCTGACTTCGGAGCCCCCCATATTGTTTCACTGGGTCATGCTCCACAGTACTGCAATTTATTGAAATTAAGGTGACCATGAAACAACCAAGCATAATTGGGTGAGCTATTTGAAAAAATGTGGACTTTTTTTAGGAGAGAGGGATTGACATAAAACTTAAGATATTTAGTAAGTGCCACAGACATGTTAGTTGGAACATGATATTTCAGAAAAGGAAAACAGAAGATATACTTTATATAATAATTCCAATTATTTATTCAGCTAACAGTATGTGTTTAGCATATACTCATCAAAATTGCTAGTTGATTTCATTGAATAGTGTTGTTTGTATAGTTTGCTTAAAGTATTTACAATTTTATTATTTCTAGAGAATATACATATATATAACATTTAAACCATGAATTCTTGTATTTTTAAAGGTTCTTATAGAAAATTGGAAAGATATGGGGAGTTCTTAAAGAAGTACCATAAGAAAAAAAAGATAATGGTATGGTATCTATGTTTTTATCATCCTTGAAAATTGGATTTTCACAGAAAATATAAACACTACATTTCCACAGATGACCACTGAAAACATTTTTGTAAATGTCCTTTTAGTCTGTTGTCGCCAATCTAGCATCTGTCTCTATGTTTTAAAGATAACTGCACTTAATTTCTTTTTATACTCAATATTAATGAGCATTGGCATCTTCACATAACTACAAGTTATTTGAAGACATATTTCAAGGTACCCTAGTCCATTCTTTGGTTATTTAATAATTTATAACATTTTATACTTAGTGGTGCAGGTCCCATATCAGTCTTCTACTTTTAGAAAATCAGTAAGTCTTTTTGATGATCTTTAGATTACTCTGCCAATTTTTAAAAAATCTTTTTGAGATTTTGATAAAAATTGTCTTTTGAATTATTTTTAGATACCTCATCTTTTTAAAAATATGTTCTAAAGGTATATAATGTTAAAGCTAGAAAAACTTTGTATCACCATTAGTCTAGCCACCTTATTTAATGCTTTTTTTTAAAATTAGCTTTTATTTTCAGTTCAGTGGAACATGTGCAGGTTTGTTTTATAATAAACTTATATTCTGGAGGTTTGTTGAACAGATTATTTTGTCACTCAGGTATTAAACCTAGTGCCCATTAGTTATTTTCCTGATTTTCTCCCTCTTCCTGCCATCCACCCTTTGTTAGGCCCCAGTGTCTGTTGTTCCCCTCTATGAGTTCATGTGTTCTTGTAATTTAGCTCCCACTTGTAAGTGAGACCATGCAGTATTAGTTTTTCTGTTCTTGCATTAGTTTGCTAAGGATAATGGCCTCCAGCTCAATCCATGTTTTTGCAAAGGATGTGATCTTGTTGTTTCTTAGGGCTACATGGCATTCCATGTTGTTTATATACCACATTTTCTTTATGCAGTCAACCATTGATGGGCATTTAAGTTGATTCCATGCCTTTGCTCTTGTTAATAGTGCTACAGTGAACATACATTTGCATGTGTCATTATGGTAGAATGATATCTATTTCTTTTGAGTTCTTTCAGAAATATCAAACTGCTTCCCACAGTGGCTGAACTAATTTATATTCCCACTAGTGGTGTAGTATAAGCATTCCCTTTTCTCTGCAACCTTGTCAGCTTCTGTTACTTTTTTTACCTTTTAGTAATAGTTATTCTAACTGGTGTGAAATGGTATCTCATTGTGGTTTTGACTTGCACTTCTCTAATGATCGGTGATGTTGAGCTTTTCTTCATATGTTTGTTGGCAGCATAAATGTTTTCTTTTGAAAAGTGTTGGATCGTGCCTTTTGCCCACTTTTTAATGGGGTTGTGTGCTTTTTTTTTTTTTTTTTTAAAGTTCCATGTGAGTTTTGGATATTAGACCTTTGTAAGATGCATAGTTTGCAAATATTTTCTCCCTTTCTGTAGGTTGGTTGTTTACCCTGTTGGTAGTTTATTTTGCTGTCCAGAAACTCTAGTTCAATTAGATACTATTTGTCAATATTTGCTTTTGTTGTGATTGCTTTTGGCATCTTTGTCATGAAATCTTTGCCCATACCTATGTCTGGAATGGTATTGCCTAGGTTGTCTTCCTGGGTTTTATAGTTTTGGGTTTTACATTTTGGTCTTTAAACCATCTTGAGTTAACTTTTGTATAAGGTATAAGGAAAGGGTCCTGTTTCAATTTTCTGCATATGGCTAGCCAGTTATCCCAGCACTATTTATTGAATAGGGATTCCTTTTCCCATTGCTTGTTTTTGTCATCTTTGTCAAAGATAAGATAGTTGTAGATATGTGGCCTTCTTTATGGGTTCTTTATTCTGTTCCATTGGTCTATGTGTCTGTTTTTGTACCAGTCCCATGCTGTTTGGATGGCTGTAGCCCTATGGTTTATAATAGTTTGAAGTCAAGTAGCATGATGCCCCAGCTTTATTCTTTTTGCTTGGGATTTTCTTGGCTATTTGAGATCTTTTTTGGTTCCATATGAATTTAAAAATAGTCTTTTGTAGTTCTGTAAAGAATGTGATTGGTAGTTTAACAGGGATAGCATTGAATCTACAAATTGATTTGGGCAGTATGGCCATTTTAATGATACTGATTCTTCCTGTTCACAAGCATGGAATGTTTTTCCATTTGTCATTTCTGATTTCTTTGAGAAGTGTTTTGTAGTTCTTGTAGAGATCTTTTACCTCCCTAGTAAGCCATATTCCTAGGTATTTGTGTGTGTGTGTGTGGCAGTCATGAATGGGATTGTGTTTCTGATTTGGCTCTTGGCTTGACTGACTGTTGGTGTATAGGAGTATTAGTGATTTTCATACATTAATTTTGTATCCTGAGACTTCGCTGAAGTCGTTTATCAGCTTAAAGAGCTTTTAAAACTATGAGGTTTTCTAGGTATAGGATCATGTGGCCTGAAAACAGGGATAGTTTGACTTCCTTTCTTTCTATTTGGATGCCCTTTATTTCTTTTTGCTGCCTGATACCTCTGACTATGGCTTCCACAGTACTGTGTTCGATAAAAGTGGTGAGAGAAGGCATCCTTGTCTTGTGCCGGTTTTCAAGGAGAATGCTCCCAGCTTTTGCCCATTTATTATGATATTGGCTGTAAATATGTCATAGTTGGCTCTAATTATTTTGAGGTATGTAGTTTATTAAGCTTTTTTAATATGACATGGTGTTGAATTTTATTGACAGCCTTTTCTGCATCTGTTGAGATAATCATGTGGTTTTTTAGTTCTGTTTATGTGATGAATCACATTTATTGATTTGTAGATGTTAATCCAACTTTCTATCCCAGGGATAAAGGCTACTTGACTGTGATGTATAAGCTTTTTGATGTGCTGCTGGATTCAATTTGCCAGTATTTTGGTGAGGATTTTTACATCAATGTTCATCAAGAATATTGGCATATAGTTCTTTTTTGTTGTTGTATCTCTGCCAGGTTTTAGTTACAGGATGATGCTGGCCTCATAGAATGAGTTAGGGAGGAGCCCTTCTTCCCCAGTTTTTTGAAATAGTTTCAGCAGGTAGGATACCAGGTCTTCTTTGTACATCTGGTAGAGTTCACTTGTGAAACTCTCTGGTCCTGAGCTTTAATAGGTTGATAGGCTATTTATTACTGATTCAATTTCAGAGCTCATTATTGGTCTGTTCAGGGATTCAGTTTCTTTTTGGCTCAGTCTTGGGAGGATATATGCGTCCAGGAATTTATCCATGTCTTCTAGATTTTCTAGTTTTATATGCACAGAGGCATTTATAGTATTTATTCTCTGATGGTTGTTTACATTTCTGTGGGGTCAGTGGGGATAGTGATATCCCTGTTATCATTTCTTTTTTTTTTTTTTGGCAAGGTGAAAGCAAGTTTATTAAGAAAGTAAAGGAATGAAAGAATGGCTACTCCATAGACAGAACAGCCCCGAGGGACGCTGGTTGCCCGTTTTTATGGTTATTTTTTGATGATATGCTAGACAAGGGGTGGATTATTCATGCCTCCGCTTCTTAGACCATATAGAGTAACTTCCTGACATTGACATGTCATTCGTAAACTGTATGGCACTGCTGGGAGTGTAGCAGTGAGGACAACTGGAAGTCAGTCACTCTTGTTGCCATTTTGGTTTTGGTGGGTTTTGGCCGACTCCTTTACTGCAATCTGTTTTATCAGCAAGATCTTTATGACCTGTATTTTGTCCTCACCTATTTCCTTATCATTTCTGATTGTGTTTATTTGATTTTTCTCTCTTTTCTTCTTTATTAGTCTAGCTAGCAGTCTATCTATTTTGTTAATATTTTTTAAAAAACAACTCCTGGATTCGTTGATCTTCTGAATGATTTTTGTCTCACAGTCTCCTTCAGTTCAGCTCTGATTTGGTTATTTTTTTGTCTTCTGCTAGCTTTGGGGTTGGTTTTCTTTTGGTTCCCTGGTTCTTTTAGTTGTGATGTTAGATTGTTAACTTGAGATCTTTTTAACTTTTTGATGTGGGCATTTAGTGCTATAAATTTCCCTCTTAACACTGCCTTAGCTGTATCCCAGAGATTCCAGTATGTTGTATCTTTGTTCTCATTAGTTTCAAAGGACTTCTTGATTTTTGCCCTAATTTCTTTTATTTCCCTAAAAGTCATTCAGTAGCAGTCATTCAGTTTCCATGTAATTATGTGGTTTTTGAGTGAATTTCTTAGTATTGACTTTTGATTTGATTGCTCTGTGGTCCAAGAGACTGTCATGAATTCAGTTCTTTTGCATTTGCTGAGGAGTATTTTCCTTATGGTTATGTGCTTGATTTTAGAGTATGTGCCATGTAGGAAATGAGAAGAATGTGTATTCTGTTTTTTTGGAGTGGTAAGTTCTGTATATGTCTGCCAGGTCCATTTGATCCAGTACTGGGTTTAGGTCCTGAATACCTTTGTTAATTTTCTGCCTCAATGATCTGTCCTAATACTGTCAGTGAGGTGTTAAAGTCTCTCAGTATTACTGTGTGGGTCCAAGTCTCTTTGAAGGTCTCAAAGAACTTGCTTTGTGAATGTGGGTGTTCCTGTGTTGGGTGCATTTATATTTAGGATCGTTAGGTCTTCTTGTTGAATTGAACCTGTTACCCTATGTAATTCCTTTCTTTGTCTTTCTTGATTTTTATTGGTTTAAAGTCTGTTTTGTCTAAAATTGGGATTGCCAGTACTAGTTTATTCTGTTTTCCAATTTGTTGGTAGATTTTTCTCCTTCTCTTTACTTTGAACCTATGTGTCTCATTGCATGCAATATGGGTCTCTTGAAGATAGCGTACTAATGGATCTTGGTTCTTTATCCAGTTTGCCACTCTGTGACTTTTAATGGGGGCATTTAGCCCCCATTTACATTCAAGGTTAATATTGACATGTGTTGATTTGATCCAGTCATCATGATGTTAGCTGGTTTTTATACAGATTTGTTTATGTGGTTGCTTTATAGGGTCACTGGTATGTGTACTGTAAGCAGGTGCAGCCAGGCTGGGGCTCTGGGAGAGGCCAGCCAACCAAGGGGTGCCCAAGTTGGACTGGCCCCATCTTTTGGGCAAGATGGCCTTGCACAGTTCAGGTCTGACAGTTCCTCTAGGTCTGTCATCTTGTTGTTTGTTGGTTATTATGCAGCCTTGATTGTGTGGGTGCTTTATGGTGCCACTGGTCTGTGTACTTAAATATGTTTTTCTGGTGGCTGGTAACAGTCTTTGATTTCCATATTTAGCTCCCTGAAGGACCTCTTTCAAAGCAGGTCTGTTGCTAATGAATTCTTATAACATTTGCTTATCTGAAAAAGATTTTATTTCTCCTTCACTTAGTTTGGCTAGATATGAAATTCTTAGTTGGAATTTCTTTTCTTTAAGAGTATTGAATACAGCTGGGCATGGTGACTTACACCTGTAATTTCAGCACTTTGGGAGGCCGAGGTGGGTGGATAATATGAGGTCAGGAGTTCGAGACCATCCTGACCAACATAGTGAAACCGCCCCTCTGCTAAAAACACAAAATTAGCCAGGCACAGTAGTTTATAATCCCAAGCTACTTGGAAGGCTGAGGCAGGAGAATAACTTGAATCCAGGAGGGGTAGGTTTCAGTGAGCCAAGATTGTGCCACTACACTCTAACCTGGGCAACAAGAGTGAAAATCTGTCTCAAAAAAAAAAAAGAATATTTAATATGGCCCCTAGTCTCTTCTGGCTTGTAGGGTTTTTGCTGAAAGGTTTGCTTTTTGCCTGGTGTGGTTCCCTTGGTAGGTTTGCCTGCCTTTCTCTCTGTCCACATTTAATATTTTTTATTTCATGTCAACCTTGGAGAATCTGATAACTGTGTGTCTTCTAGATAGTCATCTTGTATAGTATCTCACAAAGGTTCTCTGCATTTCCTGAATTTGAATGTTGACCTCTCTAGTGGGTTTGGGAAATTATCATTATCATGGATGATGTCATGAAATATTTTTTCCAAGTTGCTTATTTTCTTTCCCTCTTTTTCAGGAACACTAGTGAGTATAGATTTGGTCTCTTTACATAATCTTTTATTTCTCAGAGGTTTCGTTCATTATTTTTCATTTATTTTTGTGTGGCTGAGTTATTTCTGAGAAGCAGTCTTTGAGGTCTGAGATTCATTCCTCAGCTTGGCCTATTCTGCTGTTAATACTTTTGATTGTATTGTTAAATACTTGTGGTGTGTTTTTCAGCTCTATCAGTTGAGTTTGGTTCTTCCTTAAAAATTATCATTTCAACTTTCAGCACCTGTATTGTTTTATTGTAATCCTTAGATTCTTTGGAGTTGGTTTTAGTTTCTCCTGAATTTTGATGATCTTCACTTCTACACCTATTCTGAATTCTTTGCCTGTCATTTCATCCATTTCAACCTGGTTAAGCACCATTACTGGAACTACTGCAGTCATTAGGAAGAAAAAGACACTGGCCTTTTGAATTGCCAGAGTTTTTGTGCTGATGATTCTTCCTCATCTATGTGGGCTGATGTTTCTTTAACTGTGGTGTTGATTGTAGTCAGTTGGCATTGTTTCTGGATGTTTTCAGAGGGTTGATACTTTGTGTGTTGGGTCTTTTCTTGTACCAGAATTCTTGTCTTTGGTTTTATCAGGGCATGTATTTGCAAAGTATTTTTAGTGTTGAAGTTTGGGATGTGATTCAGTAGATGGTGCTTAAGCATACTGGTTGGTAGCTAGGCCCTTGCTCAACCAAGTGGCTCTTCTGTATTTCCTGCATTTGCAAGCCATCCTGCTTTCAAATAAGTTTTTAAATTCTGACTACTTATTTTATCAAATGACTTTTCAAAATCTATTGAAATGGCCTTTAGGCATATTATATTAACAAGAGTTTTAGTAGTTATTCTTTTTGTTAAATATAAAAGTGTTATTAGATTTATCAGTCAGAATTTTAACATGTATTTATATTTTTGTGGTTGCTTTTTAAGGTTATATGGCTAAAAACTATGTTTTGTGTTACTGCAGCTCTGCTGCTTGAAAACTTTCACTGTTTCTTTTCCTCCTACAGAATAAAGCCAGGACTTGGAGATTAACCTTAACATTTAATTAAATCTGACTTCATCTTTTTTAATTGATATATACTAATTGTACCTATTTAGAGGGTACATGTGATATTTTGATGCATGCATGCAATGTGTAATGATCAAATCAGGTTATTTAGGATAGCTATTATTTTTTTGTGTCAGAAACATTTCAAATCTTCTCTTCTAGCTATTTTGAAAGATACAATACATTGTTGTTAACTATAGTTGCCCTACTATGCTATCAAATAGTAGAACTTAATCATTCTAGATAACTGTGTGTTTGTACACATTAACCAACCTCTCTTAATCCCCTCCACTCCCTCAGCAGCCTCTGGTAATCATCATTCTACACTCTACCTCCACGAGATAAACTTTTTAAGTTCCCATATGTGAATAAGAATACATAATACTTGTCTTTCTGTGCCTGTCTTATTTTACTTAACAGACAACCTCCAGCTTTATCCATATTGCTGCAAATGACAGGAATTCATTTGTTTAATGGCTAAATAGTATTCCATTACATATATACACAACATTTTATCTATTTATCCTTTGATGGAAACTTAGGTTGGTTTCATATCTCAGCTATCATGAATAGTATTCCAATAAACCTGGGAGTGCAGGTATCCCTTTAACTTCCTTTCTAGTGGAGAGATACTGAGTAGTGGATTGCTGAACTAATCGTTTGGTAGTTCTGTTTTTAGTTTTTTGAGAAACCCCTGTTTTCCATAATATCTGTACTACATTTACATTTCCACCAACAGTATTATAAGAGTTCTCTTTTCTCTTCATCCTTACTAGCATTTGTTGTCTTTTGGTAATAGCCATTTTAACTTGGGTAAGATTCGTTGTGGGTTTGACTTGCATTTATCTGATAATTTGTGATGTTGAATGTTTTTTGTAGGCCATTTGTATGTCTTCTTTTGAGAAATGTATATTCAGATCCTTTGCCCACTTTTAGATGGTGTTATGTGGTGTTTATTTTTGCTGTTGAGTTGTTCTAGTTCCTTGAATACTAATATGTTCTGGATATTAGTCTCTTATTAAATAAATGGTTTGCAAATATTTTTTCCCGCTACACAGGTTGTCTCATCACACTGTTGTTTCCTTTGCTGTACAAAAGTTTCCTAGTTTAATGTAGCCCTATTTCTGACCCCATCTTTATTGTATCTGTAGCTTTCGAGCACATAGCCTTCTTTAAAATCATATTTGATCTCATTTTTTCCTAAAAAGCCTCTCTTTCTTATTCCTGTGTACACTTCTAAAAATGAGAATAATATGATCCTCTTTCTGGAAGCAATCTATCATTCTTACCAATCTGTTTCATATGTTGTTTGTCCCCTCCTTTCTAATATATGTATATGTGTAATATGTGTGTATGTATGTTCTTATATGTGTAAAACTTACTTGTAAGCTTAGTTATTTTTGGAGTAATTAGGAATGTGGAAATTAACCTGCTATCTGTCTATATATCTATCATCTGTCTGTGTCTATAGAATATGAATATATATATGTGTGTGTGTATATATATATATATAAAAACATGACTAGATAATCAAAAACTGATCTCTGTGTGTAAAGCAGCATAGCAGACATTAAAATTTGCCACCCGGATTTCCTTTCAAAGAAAGATCTGTTTCTCTAGCAGCTAAGAGTGCTGTAAAGGGCCACACTTCAACTGTCATCTCCTTCATGGGATTCATTACCCCCGGAGAGCTTCTTCTTCTGAGGAAACATCTTTCCAGGAGCGACTCAGTGACTGCTCAAGTTGGGGCAGGAAGTCCTGGCTATTTCAGTGCAATGCAGGACAACTCCGATGGATACTTTCACCTCTAGAATTCTTCTTGGAGTCAGTTGGGGCTGTTAGGCTTCCATCATAGCTTTCTCCATCTGCCTAATCCTGCCTCTTCCCTTAACTGCCAAAGGCATTGATTCCAAAAGCACTCCCAATAAATGTTCTGAACACTAAACTGCTCCAGAGAATCTATTTCTCAGGGAACCTAACTGTAATAGTGGTTTGTTTATTTTAGCCCTTATCTCTGTTCGTTTTGTTTATGAATATATCTGATTCCCTTCTTGAACCATAACTAGTTTGAGGGCAAGGACCATCTTTGAATTTCCAGTATCCAACACAGCAATAGTATTTAAGGCCTCTGTAGGATGTATCTGTATCTACATCTATACATATGCATACTAGTTAACTGAAAAAATTTACTAAATGTTAAATTTCTTTAATTTATAGTTTTAAAGATTTTGCTTTAAATGTTTTCCAGCTTTCAGATGACATGGAGACAGAGAAGAATATAGAGGTACTTAAAATTTATGTTTTGCCAGATTGTAAATCAAGTGTATTATGTAGGACTAAAATAATGTTTACAATAATATAAACATAGCTCTAAATATAGAGAGAGGTACCAGCGGAGAGAATCAGAAGCAGGTATAGAAGCTGCCTAGTCTGTATTTATTTATGTATAGTCCAGCTAAAATTCTTGATCATTTGAGTTTATGTCAAAATTAGTTCTGAAGTATGATTTTGTTTTGATTTTAGATATGGCCTATGAATGTGCCAGGGCTTCTTATTTCAGAGAAGCAGATAATATGAAGGTTTTTCTTTTCCTTTTTTTTTTTTTTTTTTTTGAGACAATGTCTCACTCTGTGGCCCAGTCTGAAGTGCAGTGGTGCAACCTTGGCTTACTGCAGCCTCTGCCTCCCAGGTTCAAGTGATTCTCCTGCCTCAGCCTCCCAAGTAGCTGTGATTACAGGTGTGTGTCACCATGCCTGGCTAATTTTTATATTTTTAGTAGAGACAGGGTTTTACTGTGTTGACCAGGCTGGTCTCGAACTCCTAACCACAAACACCTTGGCCTCCCAAAGTGCTGGGATTACAGGCGTGAGCCACTGCATCTGGCTGAAGGTTTTTCTTAGATGGGATATATAAATTTTACTTAATTTATTTAGTAAAAAGAAGTAAAATTATGTTAGTGAGTGATAGTTAAATGTTGGTTATCTGTAGTTATACGAGTATACTATAGTGAGAAAAGTAAAATAATTACTGTCGTGTTATATTCGCCTCTTTCTAGGATTGCATCTTCACAGGATTCAAAGCAAATGAACTTACTCAGCTACCCAGACATTTGGATGCCAAACAAATTTATCTTTTTATTTTAAAAGCCCATAATTTTGATGTATGTAAATATTTCATTTTATTGTAGGATAAATTTTGACAGTAGGATTTAATGAATTAGACCTTTATTTAAAGCTGTGATAAATAATTAGATGTTAAACAAGATTTGATCCTTTGGGCATTAAATTTGGCAGGAAAGACCAGTGATGTGTCTAACCTACTGATTACCAGAAAATAATGTATTAAACTCTGTGGTACTGCTTCAGGATCCTGAGGTTGCTAGTGTACACTGGCTTGGCATGTAACCACGACAGGTGTTTTTTCCTTCTGGTCTGTTCCTGCTCTGTCAGCTCAGGATGTTTTAGCCTGCTCATTGTAGATCCTGAAATAAGTTGTGAGTGCCCTTCTTCACAACCCTTTGGGTGTTTCTTTTGAGTCTTCAAGTGTCTGTAGGAATTTTTGAGTAGTATCCCTATAGGGTAACCAAAAGATGAAAAACTAGAGGTATTCAGAGGTAGTTACATCAATAGACAGTGAATACCAGGGCTAAAATGTGGAGTAGTTACCTAGTAAATGTGGTCATTTTGCCCTCCATTTCAATTTAACTGTTATAAAATAGCCAGTGAATACCAGGATTAAAATATGAGGTGGTTACCTGGTAAGACTGGTCATTTTGCCCTCTATTTCAATTTTCTGATTTTTATGTTTATGTACATTACATATATTCTTTGTCACTAAAAAGTATTAAATCCAAGTTGAAGCTGTTACCAGTGTACTTCATACTATGCTTAGTGGCTTATGAAAAAGATGTGCCCCCACAGAATACATAATAATTTTCTTGTTATGAAAGTTGCATGATGGTCTTTTTATAGACCTGTACTTGAAGAGGAATTCATACCTCTGGATGTAATTAAAAGAAATTAATTTCAGACATAAAAGAATCTTCAATGTCTCAGTCTGACATTAACATTTTGTGAATAAGAAGATAAAATGATCTGTTGAATCTGCCTATTTAAACAAAAACTTACAGTTTCTAGTAGTTACAGTAGACAGATTTAACCATTTATACCAATTTTGATCAATTGTCTGCTTTGGAAGTACACTGGACAGGCCCAGAAGAAGAGCTTATTGAAATAGAAGTCCATGATTGATTGTTGATATTTGTCCTCAGTGGAAAAGGGGGAACTCATGGCATGAATCTTACATTTTTGCTGTTCATGGTCTATCCGACATTGTCCTTTCAATATCAACTAGCCAAATATGGTTATTGAGCATGTGAAATGTGGCTAGTATGACTGAGGAGCTAAATTTTTTATTGTCTTTCTTTTAACTCATATATAAATCTAAAAACTAAATTTGATTTAGTTATTTAAAAATGTTTAATTATGCTTGGAACAAAATTACAAACATGTATTCTATGAAGCCTAAATATTAATCTAGAATTTCTGATGAAAATGTAGTGTTCAAATTGACATACGATATCAAAAATATATACCATATTTCAAATGCCTAGTACTCAAAAAGGAATGAAATATTTTTAATAATTTTTTATGTAAATTGTATGTTGGGGTGATATTTTCAACATATTTGGTTAAATAAAATGTTACTAAAATTAATTTCACTTTTTACTTTTTTAATGTGGCTTCAAGAATATTTAATATTATGTATGTGGCTCATGTTAAATTTCTGTTGGACAGTGCTGATCTATAAGCATTGAAAACATACTCTTTATAAAGCCTATTTATATTAACATGTTTTGTAATGTGTTTTAATCTCTATGCATCTCTTTTTTGTTTTTTTTCCCATAGGAAAAAGTTTTTAACATCTGGAAGATTCACTTTCTCTCCGAAGCCTCCATTGCTCTTTTGCATGACTCCTTTTGGTGGTGGTTTCTCCATAAATTTAAGGTATGGTGTTTTAGAAAATTTATTTTTAAGTTGATTTTGAGCATAATTAATTTTTCAGTAGAGATAAGTCTAGTACAAAAATGCTTTTCTGGATCCTACTACAGAGGTCATTTTTTGAGCATTCGCCATATAAGAAATCCTGTTTGAAGTCTAGAGTTCTTTCAAAGGAGTTAAAACTGTAATATGGATTTCAAAAGATTCTGGATCTTTGAAATTAGACTTCATAAATTATATATATTTAATATCATATAATTAGAGTCTAACTCAGAAATTTAATGATAAGATCCAGAATTAGAAAGGTGAGAATTCTGATTAGGACTGAACAGATAAAGAACGTGTATTAGTCCATTTTCACACCACTATAAGGAACCTAAGACTGGGCAATTTATGAAGGAAAGAGGTTTAATTGACTCACACTTCTGCACGGCTGCGGAGGCCTCGGGAAACTTATGGTCCTGGTGAAAGGCAAAAGGGAAACAGGGACCTTCTTCACAGGGAGGTAAGAGGGAGAGAAAGGGAAGCAAAAGTGCCACAGTTTTTAAACCACACATCTCGTGAGAACTCACCATTACGAGAACATCATGGGGGAAACCATTCCCATGATCCAGTAACCTCCCACCAGGTCCCTCCCTCAACATGGGGTGATTACAATTCAAGATGAGATTTGATTGGTGACACAGAGCCAAACCACATCAGAGGAGGCATCTGGGAAACATTAAGAGAAGGAAAAAGCAGCACATGAAACAGTGTTTTACTAGAAGAGTTTCAGTAATAACCTTAATGTTTTAAAAAATTGCTCTTGGGACCTTGACTACAAAAAAGACAAATCCCTGGAAAGTGCATCATTTTCCTCCAAACAACAACAAGAGAAAGGCATATATAACTTAAAAAGTCAGCTGTTTTTTTTTACCCCATCATACAAAGTATATTTCAAAGCAAAGAATGTTACCAGAGATAAAGAAAGTAATTTTGTAATGCTGAAGTGGTCAATTCATCAACCTGACATAACAATTCCAAATATTTATGCACCTAATAAAAATGCTTCAAAACACATTTAATAAAAACTTTTAAAACTTTAACGAGAAATACACAAATCAGTAAGTATAGCGATTTCAGCACCTTCTTTGAATAGTTGGTAGAATATAAAGAAAATCGGTAAGGATACAGAATGATATAGAAGACTTGAACAACACTGTCAAGCAACTTAACATAATTTACATTTATTAAACATCTCTCCTGTCTTAGTTGGTTTTGTGCTATAATAACAGAATACAGCAGAATGGTGATTTATAATTAACAGAATGAATTGACTCACAGTAAGCTGGGGAGTCCAAGATAGAGGGGCCAGCATGTGGTGAGGGCCTTTTTGCTGCATCACTCCTAGGCATCAGGTAGAAGAGTGAGAGAGGGAACAAGCTGGTGATTTATAATTGACAGAATGAATTGACTCACAGTAGGCTGGGGAGTCCAAGATAGAGGGGCCAGCATGTGGTGAGGGCCATTTTGCTGCGTCACTCCTTGGCATCAGGTAGAAGAATGAGAGAGGGAACAAACAAGACAGCCCTTCCTGTGATAACAAACCTACCTCTGTGATAATGGCATAATCTGTTCATGAGGATAATTTCCCCAATACCCAAACACGTCCCATTAGGCCTCATCTCTCAACACCACTGCATTGGGGATCAAATTTTCAATACATTGAACTTTGGGGAACACATTCAAACCAGAGTTAAACTTAACCAAGGAGGTGAGAGATCTGTATACTGGAAATAAAAAAACATGGATGAAAGAAATAAAAGATGACACAAATAAATGGAAAGATATCATATGTTCATAGATTGAAAGAATTAGTAAAACATCTATATTACCCAAAGCAATGTACAGAATCAGTGTAATCCATAACAAAATTCCAGTGATGTTTTCGCAGAAATAGTAAAAAAGAAAAAAAAAGTTCTAAAATTTATGTGGAACTACAAAAGAAACTGAATAGTCAAGCAGTCTTGAGCAAAAAATACAAAGCTTGAAGTATCACACTACCTAACTTCAAAATATGCTACAATACTGTAGTAACTGAAAAAAAAGCAGAGTATTGGCATAAAAACAGCCACATAGACCAAAAGAACAGAAAAGAGAGCCCCAAAATAAATCTACACGTTTGCAATCAATTGACTTTCAACAAAGGTGCCAAGAAGACATAATGAAGAAGGATAGTCTTCAATAACTGTTGTTGGGATAACTGAGTATCCACATGCAGAAGAAGGAAATTGAACCCTTATTTCACATCATATACAAAAATCAAGTCAGCATGTATTAAATTAAAGACTTAAGTATTAAGATCTGAAAGTGTAAAACTACTAGAATAAAACATAGAGGAAAAGCTCCATGACATTGGTTTGTACAATGATTTTTTGAATATGAAGCAAAGTATAGGCAACAAAAGCAAAAAATAAACAAATGGAGTTGCATTGAATGAAAAAGCTTCAGCACAACAAAGCAAACAATCAATAGATTGAAGAGACAACCTTTAGAGTGGGAGAAAATATTTGAAAATCATACATCTAATAAGAGGTTAATGTCCAAAATATATAAGTATTTCAAACAATTTAATAGCAGGAAAACAGATAACCTGATTTAAAAAGGAAAAAAGTAAATTAATATAGTCATTTTGGAAAATAATATGAAGTTTCCACAAAAAAATTAAAAGTAGAATCACCATATGATCCAGCAGTCCCATTTCTGTACTGTAGTTACATCCAAAGGAGTTAAAATTGCTATGATGAAAATATATTTGCACTTTTATGTTCATTTTAGCATTAATCACAATAGCCAAGATATGAAAGCAACCTGAATGTCCATCAATGGATGAATGGATAGACGACATTATATATATACATATATGTGTGTGTGTGTGTGTATGTACACACATATATATACATATGTTTGTAATGGAATACTATATAATCTTTAAAAAAGACGGATATTCTGTAATTTCCAAAAACATAGGTGGAACTGGAGGACATTTTGCTAACTGAAACAAACCAAACACAGAAAGTCAAATACTGTATGATCTCACATATGGAGTCTAAAAAAGTCAATCTTGTAGAAACAGAGAGCAGAAAGGTGGTTACCAGAGGCTAAGGGTGGGGAGAAATGGGGAAAAGTGAGATGATCAAAAGGTAACAAGTTTCACTTACACCAGTGAAATAGGTTTTAGTGATCTATTATACTGCATGGTGACCACAGTAAATAATATGTTTTAAATTTAATAAAATAATTTGATAAATTTTTTTAAATGGGCAAAGGCTCTAAACAAACACTTCTCAAAAGAAGACATACAAATGGCCAACAGTGTGTGAAAAAATGCTCAACATCGCTAATCATTAGGGGAATACAAACCAAAACCACAATGAGATACGATCTCACATACCAGTTTGATATGTGAGATTTTATCTAACATGGCTGTTATCCAAAAAGTGAAAGATAACAGGTATTGGTGAGGATATGGAGAAAAGGAAACAGGTATTGGTGAGGATATGGAGAAAAGTTGGAAATGTGAATTACTACTGCTAATATGGAAAACAATATGGATTTCTCAAAAACTAAAAATAGAACTACCACATGCTCCAGTAATCCCACTTCTGGGTATATATCCACAGGAATTGAAATCAGTATGTCAAATAGATATCTCTATGTCCACTTTGATTGCAATACAATAGCTAAGATAGGAAATCAACTTAAGTGTCCATCATAGAAATCAACCTAAGAGTATGTCAATGAATGAATGGATAATGTGGTATAAATACACAATAGAATATTCTTGGGCTTTTAAAAAGGAAATTATATTTGTGACAGCCTGAATGAACATGGAGGACAATTTGCTAAGTGGAATAAGCCAGGTTTGCACAGACAAATATGATCTCACTTGTGGAATCTAAAAAAGTTGAACTCACAAAAGTAGAGGGAAGAGCAGTAGTTGCAGAGGCTGGGCTGGAAGCTAGGAATGGGGAGATGTTAAAAGGGTAAAGAGTTTCAGTGAGACAGGAGGAATAACATTTTTTTTCCTTTGAGATGGAGTCTTACTCTATTGCCAGGTTGGAGTTCAATGGCATCTTTTTGGCTCACTGCAACCTCTGCCTCCCAGATTCAAGCAATTCTCTTGCCTCAGCTTCCCAAGTAGCTGGAACTACAGGTGTGCACTACCATTCCCAGCTAATTTTCTTTTTTTTCTTTTTGGTAGAGATGGGTTTCACCATGTTGGCTAGGATGGCCTCCATCTCTTGACCTCTTGATCTGCCCACCTTGGCCTCCCAAAGTGCTGGGATTACCGGCGTGAGCCACTGCGCTCAGCTGGAGGAATTCATTGAGTTTCATTGAACAACAGGGTCACTATAGTTAACAGTACCATATTGTGTGCTTCAAAATTGCTAAGAATGTAAATTTTAAATGTGTCTCCTTAACAAATTATAGTAACTGAGAGGATGGATACATGTGTACATATATCGAAATGACACATTGTACTCTGTAAATAAATACAATTCTGATTTATAAATAAAAAACAATGAGATATTAAAAATCAAAGAAAGCTCTCAAATCAACCACACAGTCTTACACATTAAGAAATTGGAAACAAGGCCGGGCGC